GCGGTGGCTCAGTGGCTAAGACGCTGAGCTTGTCGAGCGAAAGGTTGGCAGTTCAGCGGTTCAAATCCCTAGTGCTGTGTGACGGAGTGAGCTCCCATTACTTGTCTCAGCTTCTGCCAACCTAGCAGTTCGAAAGCAGGTAAAAAATGCAAGTAGAAAAATAGGGACCACCTTTGGTGGGAAGGGAACAGTGTTCCATTAACTTTTGGCGTTGAGTCATGCTGGCCACATGACCATGGAGACGTCTTCGGACAGCGCTGGCTCTTCGTCTTAGAAACGGAGATGAGCACTGCCCCCTAGAGTCGGGAACGACTAGCACATATGTGTGAGGGGAACCTTTACCGTTACCTTTTATTAAACTCTATGCGATCCTGTTTAGGCACGTTTTTGAAGCGAGTGTGCGCATGCGGGGCAAACCGGTACTAACATAATCTGAAGCCCACCGCTGCTCTAAGCCACAGGCTCTCCTCACTTTGTCAGCTATACCAGGGGAGAGATTAAGTGTTTTTTTTAAATCAGGCTCCTGGATTGGGGCTGAAAGGCGAAAGCGGAAGCTGAACGCTCTGTCCCATTTGGGTAGACCCAGTTGCCCTGATAAAAAAAACACTCAATGTATGGAAACTAATCAAGGAGAGAAGCAACCTAGAATTAAGGACAAATTTCCTGATAGTGAGAACAATCAAGTGGAATGGATTGTCTTCAGAAGTCGTGGGTGCTCCAACACTGGAGGCTTTAAGGAGACTGGACTGCCACTTGTCTGGAACGATGTAGGGTTCCTTGCTCGAGCAGGGGGTTGGATTAGAAGACCTCCAAAGTCCCTTCTAACTCTTGTTATCCCATTATTAACCGCCTCCTTATCATAGACCCGTGAAGAATGAAATCCGCATCTGCCTATGGCAATGAGTGCAATGAGATTTTTTTTGCAAGGAAGGCAAAAGATTTCCAATCCAAATGACAATCTCTTTTTAAACTCCCTGGCCTGGTCTTTGGACTTTTGCAAGCCCTCTTCCCTCCCATGTTCTTTCTCCCTTAGTACAGGGAGTTATTGACTTACAACCAGTGGTGAAATGTAAAATTTGTTACTACTGGTTCTGTGGGCGTGGCTTGGTGATGGGGGTAATGTGACTGGGTGGGTGTGGCCAACTTTTTTTTTTTTAACTTTTAAAACCATTTTTTCTACAACCTCTTTGGCCCAAAAAAAAAAAATGCTTTTAAAAGCCTCTGATGATCAGGCAACTCAGCTGGGATTGTCAGAGGCTTTTAAAAGTATTTTTTCTACAACCTATTCGGCCGAAGAGCTTGCAGAAAAAAATGCTTTTAAAAGCCTCTGATGATCCCAGCTGAGCCGCGCGCTTTTAAAAGCATTTTTTCGGCCGAAGAGGTTGTAGAAAATATGCTTTTAAAAATAATTTTAAAAAAGCCTCTGATGATCGCGCGGCTCAGCTGGGCATGGGGGGGGGCAGGGATTTTTGCTACCGGTTCTCCAAACCACCTGCCACCATCGCTACTGTATCAGGCAATCCGTTCCGAATCGGGAACATTTCACCCCTGCTTATAACCATTAGTTTAGTGGCTGCTTGAAGTTACAACGGCACTGATAAAATGAACTTATGACTTTTCATACTTATGACTGCAGCATCCCCACGGTCACGTGTTCAAAATCTGTGTGCAAGGAAACTGACCTGTATTTATGTTGGTTGCAGTGTCCTGGACCCATGTAATCACCATTTCAGAGGTGGTATTCAGCCGGTTCATACCGATTCAGGCGAATTGGTAGCGGTGACTGCAGCATAATGTCGTCCTATTTAGCCACGCTTTCAAGGCCAGGCGCATGTATGGAAGCCATGCCCGCGAGCAAAGCGCATGCACGGAAGGCCGGGCTCATGCGCAGAAGATGCACACAAGTGTGAAGTGAGCGTACGCGCATGGCAGGGGTGGGTTCTATTCACCTTTACTACCGGTTCACAACGGGGCCGATGACATCCGGGTCAGTGGGCGGAGCCTCCCTCTGGTTTTACTACCAGTTCTATAGAACCGGTCCGAACCGGGGGGCCAACCCACCACTGGCGCACGGGGCAAACCGGTGGTAAGCATGTGAAACCCACCGCTGCACCATTTGTGACCTTCCCAGCTGGCATCTGACTAGCCAAGTCAATGGGAGAAGCCAGATTAGCTGAATGACTGTGTGATTCACTTAACAACCATGCCCAAAAGTTCATAAATTGGGGCATGACTCATGAACCAACTCTCTAGCTTACAGGTAGTAACAGCAATATTGAGGTCAATGGTGGCAGTCAGTCAGAATTACTTGCATTTTCTTTTCTAAACTTGTCTTTAATTGCTCAGCAACTAACCCACCCCACTTCTGCTCCCCTCCCCCAAATCAGGACTTCAACAGCAGTTCAAAATGGGGGGGGTGATGAGTCAAGATCACAAAGGGCCTCTTTGTTGCTAGAACTTGGACAGACTGGACTGCCATCTGTCAGAAATGGTGTAGGGTCTCCTGCTTGGACAGGGAGGAGGGGTTGGACTAGATGACCTACAAGGTCCCTCCCAACTCTGTTAATCTGTATTGGAACTACAAAATGATGAGAATTGGAGGGGACCTTAGAGGACATCCAGTCCAACCCCCTCACCATTGCTGGATCAAGGAAGAGAGAGGAGAGAAAAAAAGAGATGGCCTTTTATCTGGTGGGCAAGATTTTACAAGACTTTCCTAAACTCAACCAAGCCTCCTTTGTACTGCTGTATTGGCAATTTTGTTGAAATTGGATGTCGTGTTCCTTGTTCTCACAAAAATCAATACCTGATTACAAGTTGAATGATTACAAGTTCCAGGTCAATGGTGTAAGATTAGGAGCAAACAAATAAACTGAACTTTTACTGACGAAGGGAAAAATAAATGGAGAAATGTTAAGATACTGATAGGAAGGTAGGGGTGAATTGTGGAGTGCAGGGTTTATCCAGGTGGAAGCTACCTGGTTACTCAATAAAGCTCAGCCATCACCAGTTCATAGCGACACCTACTGGCAAGACCTGTTCATTTCTCCGAGCAGCATTTTGCAGCTTCTATACCAGTGATGGCTAACCTTTTCTGGACCGAGTGCCCAAAGTGCACATGCCCGATCCCCCAAAATGCAATGTGCACGCTCCCCACCCCTGCACATGCATGCATGGCCCACTGCATTCAACCCGCCCCCTGCATGCGCTCCACCCCCGTGCATGCAAGCACATCCTGCATGCCCCCACACCCCACACATGTGCATGCGGCCCCTGCACACGCCCCACCGCCTGCACAGGCGTGGCAGAGATGATGACCAGCTGGCCGGCAGGAGGCGTGCGCACATGCACGGCAGAGCTGAACTGTGGCAACGGCTTGTGTGCCCACAGAGAGGGCCATAGGTTCTATACTGTAGTGAAGAAATATTCTAAGTGTAGAGAAATAGGGCTGTTAAGGACGTTGTAGAAAATGTAACCCTCATGAAAATCCCTGGCAGTATTTACCCTACAGGTATACTCAGTTATGAAAAAGTTTAAGAGAGATGGTGACATACTGTAAGAGCATCTCATTGCCAACTTTTTCAAGCACCGGTAGAAATGCCAGAGCTTCTATGGATGTCTCAAAGGTGCTTTTTTTGTCTCTGTGTTTCCCCTCCCCCCACACCCTTTCTTCTATCCCAGGAGTCAGCAACCCACGGCTCTGGAGCTGCATGTGGCTCTTTCATCCCTCTGCTGCGGCTCCGTCGCTGGTCAGCTCCACAAGTGATAGGGCTTTCGGTTAGGACAGGTAGAGGAAAAAGGATGCCACGCTAGGAAGAGACTCTATGGTGGTGGGAACCGGACTTCCAGTTGGCTCCAGAATTGAAAGGGGGGCTTCCAATTAGGACCTTTGTGGCTCTTTGAGTATTTAAGGTTGCCGACTTGTTCTACACATTTGTTTCTATGGGTGTTGTGCCTTAACACTGGAATGGAGGCTTGGTAATGTGACAGCAGAGAGATTGTGATGAAGAGCCCAGCAAGAAATTGTGCTTATTCTAGGACTTGCCAGTAAGAACGTAGGGAAAAAAGGTCTGAGAATCTCATCTGAGAAACTTAGGAAATGAATCTAGGGAAGATCTGGTTCAATCTATGGGAAGACTGCCATAGTCCAAGGATCTGAATTCTCACAATGCTGAGAAGCCATTTCAGTATGGGAGAGAAACTCAAATCAATCATTTTCAAGGAGGCTCCAGCAGAATAAACTGAATGGCTGAGGTGTCTTCAGCAATAACACTTAAGACTTATATACCGTTTTACAGCCCTCTGTAAGCAGTTTTACAGAGTCAGCCTATGGCCCCCAACAATCTGGGTCCTCATTTTATCAACCTCGGAAGGATGGAAGGATGAGTCAACCTTGAGCCGGTCAGGGATCGAACTGCTGGCAGTCAACAGAATTAGCCTGCAATACTGCATTCTGACTACTAGGAAGGAAGGAAGGAAGGAAGGAAGGAAGGAAGGAAAGAAAAAAGAAAGAGCAATAGCACTTAGACTTTTATACCGCTTCACAGTGCTTTGGAGCCCTCCCTAAGCGGTTTACAGAGTCAGCTATTTGCCCCCCCAACAATCTGGGTCTTCATTTTACCCACCTCGGAAGGATGGAAGGCTGAGTCAATCTTGAGCCAGTCAGGATCGAACTCCTGGCAGTGAGCGATGAGTCAGCTTGCAATACTGCACTCTAACCACTGTGCCACCAGGGCTCTTAATGTCTTAATGACAAGACAGATTTATTCACCCCCAATGCCTTTGGAGACTAAATCCTCTTGATCAGAAACGTGCCAAAAGTTGATCCCTCTGCTGTGCTGTGCTGTAATGACATCTGGAAGCCTGAACAGCCACGGCCCCCCCAAAAATACATTTTCTGACCTGCTGATCTTTTGCATTCCCGCCAACAAACACCGTTCTTTTTGCATTCCCGCCAACAATCCCGTAACGGCCGATACCATTTTCAAATCACAACCAAGGCCACATATATGTTTAATCTGTTTTTGACACGGGTCTGAATTCTATCGGCTTCCTTATTTCAATCGCAGATTATTTCACATCACAAGATCAGCTGATATTGGGAGAAGCAGCCACTGCGTCTCCTTTTAGTCTCTTGGGAGCTGAGGATGGGATCCGCCGGGTACCTTCTGAGCTCTAAGCTTCCACAGCTCCTACCAAAGGAAAGATATTCAACATCCTTTAGGGTTCTCATACAATTCAGGACTTGTACCATTATTTATTTATTTATTTATTTATTATTTATTTATTTAAGGGACGCAGTGGCTCAGTAGTTAAGACGCTGAGCTTGTCGATCAGAAAGGTCGGCAGTTCAGCGGTTCGAATCCCTAGTGCCGCGTAACGGGGTGAGCTCCCATTCCTTGTCCCAGCTTCTGCCAACCTAACAGTTCGAAAGCACTTCAAAAATGCAGTAGAAAAATAGGGACCACCTTTGGTGGGAAGGTAACAGCGTTCCGGGCGCCTTTGGTGTTGAGTCATGCCGGCCAGATGACCACGGAGACGTCTTCGGACAGCACTGGCTCTTCGGCTTTGAAACGGAGATGAGCACCACCCCCTAGAGTCAGGAATGACTAACACACATGTGCGAGGGGAACCTTTACCTTTACCTTACCGTTATTTATGAGGATGGGAAAGCAGGAAGAAACTTCCCCCTACTTTGCCATTTGCTTGGGTATCTGCAGGGACAACAAATGGTAGACCAGGTTTTGGAGCTTGTGGACATTAATGGACCCTGGGGCACTTCCTGGTGTACCTGCAGAGTATCTGCTTTCTTCTCAAATTAAAAAAGAAAATAAAGGATTTGGGACGCAAAAAAAAAGAAAAGGGAAACCAGGGGAATGATGATGATGATGATGGTAGGGCAGATGATGGGTGATCCGCTAAGAAAAAGCTGAGGCGAACTCGGAAATGGTAACAAGAGTTGGAAGGGACCTCAGAGGTCATCTAGTCTAACCCTAGAGTTGAGACTCTAGAAAAAGTGCAGAGAAGAAGCAACCAGGATAATTAGGGGACTGGAGGCTCAAACATACGAAGAACGGTTGCAGGAACTGGGCCTGGCTAGTCTACTGAAGAGAAGGACCAGGGGAGACATGATAGCAGTCTTATATTTGAGAGGCTGTTAATCCCTCTGTTAATGTGACTTTCATCCAGACTTAAATCAGACACTGCTTCCCTGCTTTTATTACATGCATTTCTTGTAATAAAAGGGAAGTAGTGTCTGATTTAAGTCTGTATGAAAGTCACTGATTTTTCTCCATTCAATTATTCGGCTGAATCACTGGACTGTGGAATCGGGGCCTGTAAGCATCCCATAATGCTTCAGCCTCTGATTCGTTCACTATCTGATATCACTATCCTAAGTTGCATTAACAGAGGGATACAATCAAGATCAAGGGAGGTACTAATACCACTCTATAAAGCCTTAGTAAGACCACACCTAGAATATAACATCCAGTTTTCGTCATTACAAAAAAGATGCTGAGACTCTAGAAAAAGGGCAGAGAAGAGCAACCAGGATGATTAGGGGCCTGGAGGCTCAAACATACGATGAACGATTGCAGGAACTCGGCCTGGCTAGTCTAGTGAAGAGAAAGACCAGGGGAGACATGAGAGCAGTCTTCCAATATTTGAGGGGCTGCCACAGAGAGGAGGAAGGGGGTCAAGCTATTTTCCAAAGCACCTGAAGGCCAGACAAGGAATCATGGATGGAAACTGAACAAGGAGAGATTCAACCTGGAAATAAGGAGGAATTTTCTGACAGTGAGAACAATCAACCAATGGAACAGAAGTTGCCTTCAGAAGTTGTGGGAGCTTCATTACTGGAAGCTTTCAAGAAGAGACTGGACTGCCATCTGTCAGAAATGGTGTACGGTCTCCTGCTTGGGTAGGGGGTTGGACTAGATGACCTACAAGATCCCTTCCAACTCTATTGATCTGTAAATCTGTAAACCCCTGGTCTTGCAGGAAACCTATACTATTTCTGATAAATGGCTCTCCAGACTCTTTTTGAAAGCCTGTAGTGATGGGGCACCCACAACTTCCAAAGGTGATTTGTTCTGCTGGTTAATTGTTCTCAATGTTAGGAATTTTCTCCTAAATTCTAGGTTGCTTCTCTCCTTGGTTAGTTTCCATCCATTGTTTCTTGTCCTGCTGACAGATGCTTTGGTGAATAAGCTGGACCCCTATTCCTTGTGGCAGCCCCTAAGATACTGGAAGACTTCTGTTATGTCACTCCTGGTCCTTCTTTTCACTAGACTAGGTTACATACCCAGTTCCTGCAATCATTCTTCCTACGTTTTAGCTTCTAGGCTAAAAAAAGGAGAGGGTATCAGCAAGTAGGACGTGGGAGATATTGCAACCAAACAGGAAATCCTGAGGTTGGCATTTCACTTCCGTCTGCCAAGTGGTGATCTTGAAAGGCAGGAAAGGGAGCAGCTGGGGTGATTCAGTTGCTGGCTGTGGGGACTTGGGAGATAATGTGGTGGGATATTTTTGAATAACGAATAGGGAGTGCAAGGAAAGGGTTGAAAGAAACAGATATGTTCTGGAATTCCCTAAATTATTTGGTGTAGCTCTGTGATGGCAAACCTATGGCATGCGTGTCACAGGTGGCACGCAGAACCCTCTCTGTGGGCATGTGAGCCGTCGCCCCAGTTCAGCTCTCCCAGTCATGCGCTGTTGTGGCCCGTTCGCAGCCTGTGCAACTAATAGCTGATTCCGACAACGAGGAGGCTGGTGTGGTGCTGTGCCAGCAGCCTGTGCAGCTGGCACTCGAGTCGGACAATGAGGAGGGTGGAGAAGATGTGGTGCCAGAAGCAGGGATTCAGCCAGGGCCTTCAGAACCTCCAGAAGCTCCCTTAAGTAAAGAGGAAGAAGAAGAAGAGCCTCTTCTCGATGCACGGGTGCGCAGAGCTGCCAAAAGGCAGGAATGGCTCCTCAGGAGGAGGTCTCCTCGAGAGTAAGGCTTGGGGCTAATGGGCCACTCCCTTAGCCTATTTAAGGAAGGACGACAACTGAGGCAATTTGCAGGGATTTCACATACCTTTATGTCTTGTCTTGCTTATCTTATCAGCTTCCTGCAAATTGCTTCTGGGCATTCTGCCAATCATACTAAGCTTTCAGTTATTATTCTTTGAATTCTTGGCAGCTGTTAATGCAGTTAATTAACAGCCGTTGTTGTAAAAGACTGGTTTATTCAGTAAACTAAGGTTTGTACAGACTGTGTGTGCTGCGTTCTTTGGGTCTGTAGCCGGGGCAGAACACGCATGTGCGCCTCCCGCCAGCCAGCTGATTGTCTGGTCTCTGACGTGCATGCGTGGGGGAAGGGCATGTGCGCATGCACGGGGGGGAGGACGTGGTGCACACACGCGCAGTGGGCATGGCCTGGGGGAGTGCAGGGGCAGTACATACGCGTGGGGAGTGGGGTGCATGCATGGGGTGGGGCGCATGCGCAGAGGGTGCACGCACGTTGTATTTTGGGGGTTTGCACTTGCGTGCGCACGCACCCACACACACTTTGGGCACTCGGTCTGGAAAAAGTTAGCCATCCCTGGTGTAGCTTCTTTTCGTCCGTTTACTTTTCTAGATGTTTTGAAGCTGGCTGTGCCCAAAATAGCCCTTTTCATCAAAGGCATTTTCTGTGTTCTCCGCTTCTGTCCCAGAATGGCACAAAAGGTGCAAACCTTCCAAACATTTGGGTCCAACTGTTGGCTGGAGAGACAATCATCCTTTTGGTTTCCTATAATTTCATCTCCCCTCCCTCCCCTGCCTCCCCCCAAGTTTTGCATTATGTTGCAGACATTGAAACAGGATCAGGGTTCAGCCTGTTTCGGAACAACTTGATCGAGATGCAAATAGCAGCCGAGCTGCTGTAACCGATCAGCCCCCAACTCCTTACTCCGGAGATTAAATCAGATATGGGCTGCAGCACTTCACACACCACCCTGTGCAGCGTGTTCCAGTTTTACAATAGGCCAGCATGAAAACAATTTATAAGGCTTATTCAATGTTTTGTCTTTCTTTGTACAGCTCAGAACTTCAAATAGAGGCTTCCAGCAGGGGGAACATTTTGTAACTGTTCTTGTTCAACCCAGGTGTTTTTAAGACCGCTCTTACATCAAACTGGCACAACAGCTCACAAGCAGAAAAGTAAAATCTACTGAGTATGTTCTCTTTGTGTGTATCGGAAACAATGGGTCTGGGGCACATTGTACAAGCTGTTTTATCAATTCAGCCAGGCAACGAATACTGAAACAATGTAGTGACTTACGTAAAATAACAAGAGTTGGATGGGAAATTGGAGGTCTTCTAATCCAACCCCCTACTCAAGTAGGAGACCCTATACCATTTCAGACAATGATTGGATGGTTCAAAGATGATTAAGGGACTGGAGACTAAAACGTATGAAGAACGGTTGCAGGAACTGGGTATATCTAGTTTAATGAAAAGAAGGACTTGGGGAGCCATGATAGCAGTCTTCCAGTATCTCAGGGGCTGCCCCGAAGAAGAGGGAGTCAAGCTATTCTCCAAAGCACCTGAGGGCAGGGCAAGAAGCAACGGGTGGAAACTAATCAAAGAGAGAAGCAACTTAGAACTAAGGAGAAATTTCCTGACAGTTAGAACAATTAATCAATGGAACAGCTTGGCCTTCGGAAATCATGGACTCTCCAACACTGGAAGTTTTTAAGAAGAGATTGAACCACCATTTGTCTGAAATGGTATAGGGTTTCCTGCCTAAGCAGGGGGTTGGACTAGAAGACCTCCAAGGTCCCTTCCAATTCTATTCTATTCTATTCTATTCTATTCTATTCTATTCTATTCTATTCTATTCTATTCTATCCACCGTTTCTTGTCTTGTGCTTGTTTCATCATCCTGACTTTCTACCGCTTGTACGATTACACCAGATAAGCAGTTTGCCAACACCAATACCCACCAGTTGCGGAACTCGCTCGTAAACAATACGCTGCGGAAAAGACAGCTCAACAAGCTGAACGTAGTATCTCATCTCGCCATCGCTGGTTTTCAGCAGCTCCTCCAAAGTACTCCGGAAGTGATTGTAGGCTTCGCACACAACGTCCATTTGTCTTAAAGTGAAGTTGAACCTGGTCAGACACATCCCACAAAGTCTCTCAGAACAGTTTCAAAAAATTATTTTGTCAGATCCATAACATAATACTGCCATTCAAATGGAGGGAAGGTGGGGGGGGGGGGAAGCATGGGGATAAGCTGTATTTTTATAACCTTTTTCCTGGCGCCTAAGCGCCCTGCAGTATTCTCACCTTTTTTTTGGAATGTAATAAGGAGGAAGGCTTGCCATGTGGATCGTTTCAGTTTCTTGAAAGCGGAAGAAGGTCCTGGGAACGGCCCCTTATAACATCTCCACACCTGTGGATTGGCTGAATCCACATTCGGACTGGAGTGAGGGATTCTAAAGCCCTGTTTCTAACGGTATACTTTGGGAGGGAATTTAGAGTCTGCTTCGCCTGCCCCGCTATCACTTCTTCTCAATAAAAGGTTCCTTTTGAAATACCACATTTCAAGAGTCTATACTTTCTTGGGGAAAGGAGGAAAGGCAGGGCCTGACATCTTTTTTCTAAATGCGGCTGCATCTCTCCCCCCCACCGCCCCACTCTGCCCCTCCCCCCAAAATGACAGCAAAAGGCTTTCAGAAGATGAAATCAACCTGACAGCAGATGCTGGAGTTACAAAGAACCAGCAAATCGCCTGTACTTGGATAACACCGCCAAAGGTGAAAATCCTGCGTTGTTAGTGCCTATTGCTGTATGGAACTTTTTCATGTCTGGGAAAGAGAAGGTTTACACGTCCATTTTATTCGGCTTCAAATCTTTGGAACGAGTTAAAAGTCAAGACAGTGGAGTCAAAGAGAGGAAGGAGAAAAAAAGTTCACTCTTTTTTTGGGTAGAATTTATAACCTGCTCAAAGTACAGGAGTCATGCCAGAATACAGACCATTCTCAACTGACAACCATTCGCTTAGTGAGCATTCGAAGTTGCAAAAACGCTGAAAGTGGTGACTTATGACCGACCGGTCCTTGCACTTACAACCATCAGAGTCACATGATTAACATTTTGGTTTTTGGCAACCGTACGCAGCCTGTGCAGCTAGTAGCTGATTCAGACAGCAAGGAGGCTGGTGTGGTGCTGCGCCAGCAGCCTGTGCAGCTGGCACTCGAGTTGGACAATGAGGAGGCTGGAGAAGATGTGCTGCCAGAGGCGGGGATTCAGCCAGGGCCTTCAGAACCTCCAGAAGCTCCCTTAAGTGAAGAGGAGGAGCCTCTTCACGCAGAGCTGCCAAAAGGCAGGAGTGGCTCCTCAGGAGGAGGTCTCCTTCAGAGTAAGGCTTGGAGCTAATTGGCCACTCCCTTAGCCTATTTAAGGAGGAACCCCGACTGAAGCAATTTGCAGGGAACAACTTAGTTCACATACCTTTGTGTCTTGCTTATCTTATCAGCTTCCTGCAAATTGTTTCTGGGCATTCTGCCAACCATAATAAGCTTTCAGTTATTATTCTTTGAATTCTTGGCGGCTGTTAATGCAATTAATTAACAGCCGTTGCTGTAAAAGACTGGTTTGTTCAGTAAATTAAGGTTTGAACGGTCTTTGTGTGTGCTGCGTTCTTTGGGGTCTGTAGCTGGGGCAGAACACTACCAGCATACGCATTTAACAACAGTTGTAGCATCCTGGGGTCAGGTGGTCACCATTGGTGATCTTTCAAGACAGCTTCTCTTAAGCGAAGTAAATGGGTAAAAGGGATTCGCTCAATGACGACTCTGATTCACTTAGCAACCGTGGCAAAAGAAAATTGTAACGTTGGGTGGGACTCACTTCACAAGCATCTTGTTTAGCCACGGAGATTCTGGTCCTCAGAATCAGAATAGAGCTGGAAGGGACCTTGGAGGTCCAGCTTCCTGCTCAAGCAGGAGCCCCTCTACCAGTGATGACTAGCTTCTTTCTCACTGTGTGCATGAAAGCATGTGCACGCGCGACAGCGCGTCCTGGCACCCATAATGCAAAGCGCCCCCCGCGCATGCACGAATGAGCCCCCCGCGTATGCGCCCCCCTGCCCCCCCATTCTTGGCCTAGTAGGTCTCCCTGCAGCCTCCTGGGCCCAAAAAAGGGCCGTGGGGGGTGGCGGACCGCCTCCCCGCCCTGTTTTTGGCCTAGCATTCCTCCCTGCAGCCTCCTCGGCCAAAAAACGGGCTGTGTATGTGTGGGGGGGGGCATGCCACACCCCACGCGCACTGCCCCTGCACATGCGTGCCCGTGACCCCCCACACATGCATGTGCATCTCCCCCATGCTCCCCGCCCCTTGCGCATCCAGAAAATCAGCTGGCCGGCGGGAGGCGCACACACGCATACGCAGTGGAGCTGAGCTAGGCGACGGCTCACATGCCCGCAGAGAGGGCTCTCCGTGCCAGATGTGGCACGCGTGCCATAGGTTCGCCATCATGGAAGCCTATACCATTTCAGACAAGTGACTGTCCAGTCTCTTCTTAAAAATCTCCAGTGATGAAGCCCCCACAACATCTGAAGGTTGTAGTTTTAAATTGAGGACGATCTGTAAACTAAAGGCCGCTTTCTAAACTGGTCCAGAAATAAAAATGATCTAAAATCCTTGGTTGGTATTTTTCTACATTGATTGTGATGGAAATTCGGAGAAGCCAATGTTGCCTTAAAGTTGCAAGCTGTGTTTTTGCTTGGTTTGTGACGAACAAGACGCCCTATTTACGTTATGGTGCATTTTCCACCTAAAGAACCTGAAGGACAGACCAGGAATCATGGATGAAAACTGAACAAGGAGAGATTCAATCTAGAAATAGGGAGAAATTTTCTGACAGTGAGAACAATCAACCGATGGAACAGAAGTTGCCTTCGGAAGTTGTGGGAGCTTCATCACTGGAAGCTTTCAAGAAGAGACTGGACTGCCATCTGTCAGAAATGGTGTAGGGTCTCCTGCTTGGGGGGAAGAGGGCTGGACTAGATGACCTACAAGGTCCCTTCCAACTCTGTTAACCTGTTTAAATCACCAACCTTTTTTCCATAGAGAAGTAGACGGTGCAAGAATTCCTCAGGCTGCGAGTGATTCGGGACAGCGTTTTGAAAAAAGCATCTGTTAGGTCATCATCATAAAATACTGCAATATAAAAGAAGATGAAGGTTTTCAAGGTTTTACCCAGAAGCATTAACCTCCCATCTTAAAGCTGATTTATACAATCAATTATTGTTCAGGATGCACTGCATTATAATGCATGCAGTTAACTTCACATTTGACAAACTAGAACTCCAGGTGAATTGCGGTCATCAAGAGAAGAGAAGGAGTTTTTGTAACTGCAAGAGACAGGCATGGCAACACACACACACACACACACACACACACAGATCTGCACGTAGCTACACATTTGGCTTTTAATTTCACCGAGAGATTTTTATGCAATAATGGGAGGAGGAAGATGTAGTTCACTGTCTTGATGTATAGAATAGAATAGAATAGAATAGAATAGAATAGAATAGAATAGAATAGAATAGAATAGAATAGAATAGGAGTTCTTTATTGGCCAAGTGTGATTGGACACACAAGGAATTTGTCTTGGTGCATATGCTCTCAGTGTACATAAAAGAAAAGATACGTTCGTCAAGAATCATAAGGTACAACACTTAATGATAGTCATAGGGTACAAATAAATGTCTATGGAGATTCTCAATCGTCCATGACATCAACATCATCTTCTATTAATGACCCCAGAATCCCTTGTGGGGTGGAGTCTGTGCAACTGAATGGAGCTGAATGTTTACTGGCCGGGTGCCATTCCTGTTGCCAATGCGAAGTTTTATTCAGCAGATATATTCTCACTGTGCCCAGAGAGAGAAATATCTGCCTCTACCCAGGATCGAACTCACAGCCTCCTGATTGTGAGGCGAGAGCTCCACCTCTAGGCCACCGCACCACTCCTCTGAATCGTCCAAGTCACGGTTGTCCCAAATGTGCTTTTCCAAAAGACAATTGAAGGTTCTTTATTTTTTTTTCTTTGAAAATGTTTTGTTTCTCATCCAAGAAGCTTCCTCAGTTTTGAACTTCAGTTCAGAACAGAAGAAGCTTCTTAGATGAGAAGTGAAACATTTCAAAGAAAAAAAACAACAATCAAGGAGGTCCAGTTGCCTTTTGGAAAAGCAGTCTTTGGGTTCACTGTCTTGAGTTATTCGTAAAAATAATAAAGGTGGGATATAAATAAATAAATTCATTTAATGAATAGAAAGAATCTAAACTCTGATGTCACCTCCTATTTTCCCCAAGGACTCTTTTATAAGGAACATTCCAAATGTCAATTCATAATTTCCATTACTGAATGACAAAATCTCTCCAAGCAGTGGTCTTATCTTCCTGGAACTATTATGAGCATTTCTCGCCACTACATTAAATTTGGGTGTGTTTATTTAATTTCAATATTGTTGCCTGAAAAGTGGCTCCAATTATAGTTTATTTATTTTAAAATGGTATCTACTTTTTCATTGTGTCATTTTTGTGATCACAAAATGGCTTACTGAATTTTTAAAACCATGATTCCATGTTATTGCCTTATTTTACTGCACCAAAAGGAGTTAGAAGTCAAACCTTTTTTTTCTTTCCCCCCTCCCCCTCTACTCTACACTTTTGTCCCCTTTTCCTCCCTTCATCATCATCGTCTTTTAACAACCCCATAATCCCTTGTGGGGTGGAGTCTGTGCAACTGAATGGAGCTGAGCGTTTACTGGCCGGATGCCCTTCCAGGTCGCCAATGCAGAGTTCTATTCAGCAGATATAATCTCAACGTCCCCCAGAGAGAGAAATATCTGCCTCTACCTAGGATCGAACTCAACAGCCTCCTGAATGTGAGGCGAGAGCTCCACCTCTAGGTGACTCCACTCTTCCCCTTTTCCTCCCTTATTTCATTTTTTCTTTGTATTTATTTTATATTTTGATCAACTAATAAAAATTTTGGAACAACAAAAAAAAAGTATTCTTTTATATAATGATTCCAAACACTTCATTAAAAATGTTCTGGGCAAGATTTGTTTAGCTTGTACCTGTTTTAATCTTGCATTTTATATTTTAAACTTTATCTTGCGCACGGTCACTCACGCCCTCGTCACTTCCCATCTGGACTACTGTAATGCTCCCTACATGGGGCTCCCCTTGAAGAACACTTGGAGGCTCCAACTGGTCCAGAACGCGGCCGCGCGGGTGATTATGGGAGTGACACGGCACACCCATGTAACACCGCTCCTGCATGAGCTGCACTGGCTCCCGGTGGTCTTCCGGGTGCGATTCAAGGTGCTTGTCACCATCTTTAAAGCGCTCCATGGCTTAGGACCTGGGTACTTACGAGATCGCCTTTTGCCACCAACGGCCTCCCACCAGCCAGTATGCTCCCACAGAGAGGGACTCCTCAGGGTGCTGTCGGTCAAACAATGTCGACTGGCGACCCTCAGGGGGAGAGCCTTCTCTGTGGGGGGCACCTGCCCTCTGGAATGAACTGCCCCCGGAGATACGGCGGATCCCGGATCTACGCACCTTTTGCCGTGCCCTTAAGACTCTACTGTTTCAACAGGCTGGGCTGGCTTGAGAACAGATTTTAATGGGTGTTTTAGTTTTTAATATAGAGCCAAATCATTTAATTTGTTTTAAATTGTTTTTTAAATTTTGTAGATATACATGTTTTAGTATGGCCGTACACCGCCCTGAGAAGGGTGGCATAAAAATGTAAATAAATAAATAAATAAATAAATAAATAAATAAATAAATAAATAAATAAATAAATAAATAAATAAATAAATAAATAAATTATGCCTTATCTTAATTGGGATGCTTTTGACATGAATAAACAAACAGGGTTATTACAAATATTACAAATATGCGGCTGCGATTTTTCATAGCTATTCCTCTGATAATTCAAATTTCTGAACCGATTTGAAGTACAGAATGAACCTGGGCTTTGATTGATTGACAACTAAGGCCAAGAACTGAAAGGTTTGTGCACAAACCTTTACCTGAAGCAACTGTCATCTTAAATCAACCTTTCCCTGAACCAATCCGATTCAGACATTCCAATCTCGTTAAGGCTGATTAGCATGTTTTATAGCCTCAACAATCTATTCCCAAACCTTTTTCATACCATCAGCAGCCAGTATCACAGTGGTGAGGTCATGTAGCTCAGCAATCTCTTTTTTGGACCAGCTGAAGCAATCCTCAGGATCTACAGCAAAAAGTAAAATAAAATATATACAATACTTATTTACTGCATATCCCAAACTGTCCAAAGCAGGATTGTCAAACTCAAAGGCCGCAGGCCAGATCTGGCTCGTGGGCTGCTTAGATCTGGCCCACAGCACCAGCCTAGAAACAGCAAAGGTGCCTGCGGTGCCTCTGCCAGCAAAAATGGAGCTCGGGGTTAGGGTTCGTGCGTGCTGCCCCCCTCCCCGTGCCCTGTTTTCGGCCGCAATGGCCTCCGGAGCCCTCTGGCAGCAAAAAACCCACCCCAGGGCTCCGTTTTCGCTGGCAGAGGGCTATCCAAACAAACTAAAAACCAAACAAAAGGAGAAATGTTTCCCCTTTTGCATTTGAGCATCCAAGAAGGGACAGGAAAGGAGAAAGGAAAGAGGAAAGACGAAGAAAAAGAAGGGAAAATGGGAAGAGAGCGAGGAAGGAAAAAGAAGGAAAGAAGGGAAGGAAGAAGAAAGGAGAATGAAGAGGAAGGAAAAAGAAAAGGAATGAATGAATGAATGAGATTATGAGAGTGAGGGTCTCAGGGAAGTTCTGCCTTAGCAATTGGCCACCACAGGTGTCCCCGACACAAGTCCCGTGTCACGCCCACCCCTGGCCACACCCACCGTTCCCACGCCCCTCCGGCCCTTTGAGGTCAAACACAACTCTGATGCAGCCCTCAATGAAATCGAGTTTGACATCCCTGGTCTAAAGATAGAATAGAATAGAATAACAGAGTTGGAAGGGACCTTTGAGGTCTTCTAGTCCAACCCCCTGCCCAAGCAGGAAATCCTACACCACTTCAGACAAATGGTTATCCAACATCTTCTGAAAAATTTCCAGTGTTGGAGATTCCACAGGGAACTGAGAATTGTCTCAGGTTCTATCTGTAGGCCTATGATTTAAATTAAATTCCATGCTGTGCAAGGAAAAACGGTATCAATAGGAAGAAAAGAGTCAGGAAGCTCGATTTTGGGGTGATTTTATGCCTTGTTCTATACAGGTAGTCCTCGACTTACGACCACAATTGAGCCCAAAATTTCTGTGGCTAAGCAAGGCGTTTGTTAGGCAAATTCTGCCCCATTTTTGCTATCTTTGGTTGTGGAGCGAATAACAGGGGTTATTAAGTGAATCACATGGTCGTTAAATGAATCTGGCCTCCCACATTGACTTTGCTTGTGGGAAGTCAATTGGGAAGTTTACAAATGGTTGATCACATGACCCTGGGACACTGCAACAGTCATAAATACCGGTCAGTTGCCAAGCACCCGAATTTTGATCACATGACGAGACACTTTTTTTTTCAGCGCTGTTGTAACTTCAGTCACTAAACAAATGGTTGTAAGTTGAGGACTACCTGTCTTGGCCACTGAGGAGGCAGTCCTGACACAGGTAGAACTGGCACAGCTGGTCACAGCCCAGTGGGTGAAACATGAAGCTGTTTTCTTCGGTTGAAGCTAGTTAGCAAGTAAGCAGCAACCCTGGATGGTATCTACAGATCTGAGATTAAGGTTGATTTATCAAACAATGGTAGCTAACTTAGCTAAGGGTATATTGGACCGCCCAAAGAAGACAGTTAAAGGATGGACATCGGATTTCCGATGCTGGAGCTGTAAAAATTTGAGGGCCCACTAACCCATGTGACATGAGCATGTAATCATTTGGGCTGTTTGGGGGAACAGCAATAGCACTTAGACTTATATACCGCTTTCCAGCCCTCTCTAAGCAGTTTACAGAATCAGCCTCTTGCCCCCAACAATCTGGGTCCTCATTTTACCCATCTCAGAAGGATGGGAGGCTGAGTCAACTTTGAGTCAATTAGAATCGAACTCCTGGCAGTCAGTAGAGTTAACCTGGCAATACTACATTTTAACCACTGGGAGGGAGGGAGGGAGGGAGGGAGGGAAGGAAGGAAAGAGGGAGGGAGGGAGGGAGGGAGGGAGGGAAGGAGGGAGGGCGGGAGGAAGGAAGGAAGGAAGGAAAGGCAATAGCAATAGCAATAGCAATAGCACTTAAGACTTCTATACCACTTCACAGTGCTTTTACAGCCCTCTCTAAGCAGTTTACAGAGTCAGCCTCTTGCCCCCAACAATCTGGATCCTCATTTTACCCACCTCGGAAGGATGGAAGGCTGAGTCAATCTTGAGTCAATTAGAATCGAACTCCTGGCAGTCAGTAGAGTTAACCTGCAATACTACATTTTAACCACTGGGAGGGAGGGAGGGAGGGAGGGAGGGAAGGAAGGAAAGAGGGAGGGAGGGAGGGAGGGAGGGAGGGAGGGAGGGAAAGGGAGGGGGCGGGAGGAAGGAAGGAAGGAAGGAAAGGCAATAGCAATAGCAATAGCAATAGCAATAGCACTTAAGACTTCTATACCGCTTCACAGTGCTTTTACAGCCCTCTCTAAGCGGTTTACGGAGTCAGCCTCTTGCCCCCAACAATCTGGATCCTCATTTTACCCACCTCGGAAGGATAGAAGGCTGAGCAACCTTGAGTCAATTAGAATCGAACTCCTGGCAGTCAGTAGAGTTAGCTTGCAATACTGCATTTTAACCACTGGGAGGGAGGGAGGGAGAGAGGGAGGGAGGGAAGGAAGGAAGGAAAGAAGGAGGGAGGGAGGGAGGGAGGAAGGAAGGAAGGAAGGAAGGAAGGAAGGGTGGCCAATAGCAATAGCACTTCTATACCGCTTCACAGAGCTTTCCAGCCTTCTCTAAGCGGTTTACAGAGTCAGCCTTTTGCCCCTAACAATCTGGGTCCTCATTTTACCCATCTTGGAAGGATGGAAGACTGAGTCAACCTTGAGCCAGTGAGATTTGAACTGCCGAACTGTAGCTAGCAGTCAGCAGAAGTAGCTTGCAGTGCTGCACTCTAACCACTGTGCCAGTTCGGCTCTTATAGTACATTAATGCATTGAATTAATGTACAAATCCATTGTAATGGATTTGCATAAAAGTCTTTAAATGCTAAAAATCTGGCAAGATAGGTGGCAAACAAAACAAAACAAAACAAAACAAAACAAAACAAAACAAAACAAAAAACAAAAAACAAAACACAAAACACAAAACACAAAACAAAAACAAAAACAATTGAAGCAAATACCAGCACTCTGGAATTTGACTGTTTATTAGGATTTGTGGCTGTACCAAGCATGGAGGATGGGGTAGAGATGGCAAAAAGAATTATGTTAAGAAACTGGAAAAGTGATTTTACTCCAGGGGTCAAGGAGGGGCTGCTGGAAAATGAGATACTCTCTACCAATCAAAAGATACAGCAATAGTTGTTACAATGGCAGATATTCTGTAATATCTGACAATAATGCGTTGCGTTGTTCATACTATAGTAGTGCGTTCATTGTTAGTATACATTCCCCCCCCCCCCCCCCCGTTTTTTGTCTTTGCTTGTACTTTCATTTTTTCTTCAGGAATAACGACTGCTTTCTTCAAAATAAATTAAACAAATTGTAAGATACATTTAACCTGTACTGCTCTTTTGACCGCAAGAAATTGGATGTATTTAAAAGCAGCAGCAATTTTGGGAGAAAAATCCAACAGCAACCTCAAGCTCAGAGATTAAGGCTGATTTTTATTTCATAATAAAAATCATAATTCTATTTAGGGATCTGACAGAGTGAGCATGCAACCACCTCAAGACCGAGCCCGTTACACATCGGATTTTATAGAAGAACCCACCCTCTCTGTGAAGTTTTGGTTTAGCCTGTTCCCAACCACAATTGCTTGTTTGTCTCTTTTCTTTCATCATTCATACGCTGACATTTCCATTATGTTGTTCTGACCCAGCTCTGCAAATATGACAAACCCTCTGAAGTTAACTCAAAAGATTCCTTTATTAAGAGTGCCAGCTCTTAATAAAAGTTTCTCTCTCACCGCAGGCTAACAAGTCTGTCCAGCTGGGAGATGAATAGGTATCTGCCACACCTATTCATCTCCGCCCCCTGCCTTTTATCCCCAGATCCCCTAATGAAGCCCCTAGGGTGGGGCTTCATTAGCAGCAGTGGCTCTTCCGTCCCAAGGACTGGCCCACAGATTTCCACTGCTCTCCTCTCCTCTGCCTTCTATGCATCAGGCACTGGACCCAGCTGTTCCTTCTCTTCCTCATCAGCTACCTCCAGACCTGGGGTCTGTTGACTCTCCATCTGAGGGCTGATGGACAGCCAAGGCTCCACCTCTGTCTCTCTCTCTGCCAGCTCCATTCCCTCTTCCCCCTCTGAGCTCCCAAGTTGCCCTGATGCTGGCCCTGACTCCCACACCTCCTCCTCCTCTGATTTGGCTGTTGGAGGGTCTGGCGGCCGACAGGCCACAATGTATGTTATGTTTTCCACCTCATTTATTCTAAGTGCCAGGGCCCTTCATGGCATGAAGTAATACAAGCAAATTTTAGATTTTAAAAAGAGGCATCTTTTGCCCATCTCAATAAAAAGAAAAAAAATGGGATAGTCATTCTCTTCTTTACATGAAGCTTTAGGTTGTCCGCGGCAACCTTAATTTCACATTCTGTTCTTCAGGACTTTGACCTCCCAATTAAGCCAAGCAACACTATGGTTTACTCAATGAAGGGCAAAAATGCATTTTGTACACGCTCAGAGGCAAAGCCTTTAGTGTCATCATCTCAGATAAATCCTGAGTTTTAAATGAGAGATTGGAAAGAAAATCTTAAAACCAGCTGTAGAGAAGGCTTACATACCAGTGCAGAAATCGTCTTGCTGCCAATCCAGTTTTTTAACTCTGATTTCGCTTCCTAAAAAATCAGCAAAATAATAAGTGGCAAGAAAAGAAAACTATTAGTATACAAAGAATACATAAAATAAACAAGAATGTACGATGTGCTTCTTAGGACAGGTGGTCCTCAATTTACAACCACAATTGGGACTGGCATAGCTGTTGCTGAGCTGGCCACTGCATGCCTGGACTTGATTTTACAACCATTTTTACTGTGGTTGTTAAGCGAATCACATGGCTATTAAATGAATCTGGCTTTCCCTATGAACTTTGCTTGTTGTGAAAGTTGCCAACTGTGATCATGCAGCCCTGGGAGATTGTATTGTAAATGTGAGTTGGCTGCCAAGAGCCCAAATTACAATCAAGTGACTTACCATATTTCTCCAAAAATAAGACCGGGTTTTATATTAATTTTTGCTCCAAAAGATGCATTAGGGCTTATTTTCCAGCTAGGTCTTATTTTAAGGGAAATGTGGACTAAATGCATCTGTCTGGCTGACGAGCTTAATTGGGTCTTATTTTGGAGGTAGGATTTATATTACGAGCATCCTGAAAAATCATGTTAGGGCTTATTTTCCAGTTAGAAATACTAGGGATAGGGCTTATTCTCAGGGAAATACAGTAGTTATGGTCATAACCTGGAGGATGGATTGTAAGTCTCATTTTTCAGCACCATTATAAGTTAGAATTGTTAAACAAATGGTTGTTAGTTGAGGATTACCTGTGCTATGTACTATGGAGACATTTACACATTCTGTATCTTTTCTTGTTTCCTTATATATCTTCCATGCACTTTAGGTCAAGAACTTTTTAAATTTCCCCCCTTTTATAACTATTTTTAGAACTTTTATATTTTTAAAAGTTCTAAATGACTGTATCCTACCCTCTTATTGCTGCTCTATAGCCATAATAAATACCGAAAAAAAGAAGGTAAATTACAGGTAGTCCTCGAATTATGCCCACAACTAAGCCCAAAATTTCTGTTGCTAAGCGAGACATCTGTTGAATTTTGCCCCATTTTACAACATTGGACCGCTATGTCAATTCACAAAGCATCCCTGGTCTGCTCTTGAGTTGTCATAGGCAAGGGGGATGGAAAAACGAACTTGGCAGCAGGTCAGTCAAAAACAAAAGTACATTCCAGCTATACCTCTGTCAAGGCCGTCTCCCAGGGTTACCCACAGTGGCTGGAGGGGAGTAATCTTTTGGGAGAATGTGACTGGTGACATATCTTAGGGGGATGGGGGAAACAGGGTCAGAACTGGGCCGTAAATTACATGGGGTCAGAGTTAGCTTCACTTGGAACGTAATAAATAATGGGATTTCTTTTGAAGCTTGGCTCGAGGCTCATGATTTGATTAGGTGGGAACCCTGACAGTTGTTAAGTTAGTGACACAGTTGTTAAAGTGAATATGGCTTTCCCACTGATTTTGCTCATTAGAAAGTTGCAAAAAGGGATCATGTGACCCCCGGGACACTGCAACCATCATAAATCCATGCCAGGTGCTAAGCATCCGAATTTGGATCACGTGACCATGGGGATGCTGCAGTGGTTATAAGTGTGAAAAACAGTCGTAAGTCACTTTTTTTTTCAGTGCTGTTGTAACTTTGAACGGTCACCAAATGAACAGTTCTAAGTTGAGGACTACTTGTAGTATCATGTACTAGTCAGAGCAGGGGTGTCAAACTTGCGGCCCACAGGCCGGATGCGTCATGTGCTAGCTCTGCCCCCGCCCGGTTTAGCGAAGGGGGGAAAAAGTCCCGATATGTCACGTGATGTTGCTGTGACGCCGTGAGTTTGACACCCCTGAGGTAGAGGAATGCAGTGTACTTTTCTTCAATCAAGAGGAGAAGAAAGTGTAGTACGCAAATACTCTTTCAGATAACCATTGGAACCATGAGGACTGAAGGATAGACAAGGGACTAATTTTTTTTTTTTGGTTCATCATTTGTTCTTTTATAGAACTTCCAACACCCAGACTAAAATTATAAAACAATATTAGCCATTTAGAATTTAGAATAAGAGAGTTGGAAGGGACCTTGGAGGTCTTCTAATCCAACTCCCTGCTTAGGCAGGAGACCCTACACCACTTCAGACAAATGGTTATCCAACATCTTCTTTAAAATTTCCAGTGTTGGAGCATTCACAACTTCTGCAGGCAAGTTGTTCCACTGATCAATTGTTCTCACTGTCAGGAAATTTCTCCTTAGTTCTAGGTTGCTTCTCTCCTTGATTAGTTTCCACCCGTTGCTTCTTGTCCTACCCTCAGGTGCTTGGACAACAGCTTGACACCCTCTTCTTTGTGGCAGCCCCTCAGATATTGGAAGACTGCTATCATGTCTCCCTTAGTCCTTCCTTTCATTAAACTAGACAACCGTTCATCGTATGTTTTAGCGTCCAGTCCCCTAATCATCTTTGTTGCTCTTCTCTGCACTCTTTCTAGAGTCTCCACATCTTTTTTACATCGTGGCGACCAAATCTGGATGCAGGATTCCAAGTGTGGCCTTACCAAGGCCTTAAAGTGGTCCAGAAGCAACACTCAAGATCATACGTTTTAAAATATACTGTAAGTAACTGCATGAGCTACCTACCACTAAATAATATATTTCAGATTTGATGCTTGTTTTAGTTTGCTGGATTTGAAAAAATTGAACAATCTTGAAAGCACATTGCAACATAATCTCATGCAGGTTTGTTCAGCATCAGACCTCCTTAGAATCAGTGGAACAAACTCGTCTTTTACCTGTTGGCTCAGTGACGTGCTTGTTTAAGGCTACATTTCGTTCACACATGCTCAGTAGGTCTTCACCAACATCTTTAAAAACAAAAAAGATGACAGATATCAAAATCCCAAAGAGACAATTTGGGGAAGTTTTAGTCCTGCCTTAGGCACGAAAACAGCTGGATGACTTTGGGCCAATCACCAGAAACCGTGAATTCTAGTCCCGCCTTAGGCAGGAAAACCAGCTGGATGACTTTGGGCCAATCACCAGGAGAACATGAATTCTAGTCCCGCCTTAGGCATGAAAGCCAGCTGGATGACTTTGGGCCAATCACCAGGAGACTGTGAATTCTAGTCCCACCTTAGGCGTGAAAGCCAGCTGGATGACTTTGGGCCAATCAGCAGGAGACTGTGAATTCTAGTCCCACCTTAAGTATGAAAGCAGAGGCAGATTCTTTTTTCTTGTGCTAATCAGGCTGTGCTGAAAATGAAACAGGCTGTTTGATGCAAGGAGGCAAATTGCTGGGAGGCAGAGGCAGGTTTTGTTTTCCTCCCCCAAAAAAGGTAGGTGCGTCTTATGCTCCGAAAAATACGATAGTTTGACAGTATTGTGGGAATTAGTTGTTCAGCAGAGTGATGGCATGGGTGGGGGGGGGAACTGTCCTTATGTCTAGTTCTGACGTGCAGTGCCCTATAGTGTCGTTTTGAGGGTAGGAGTATATCCCAATATTATGATTTCCAAACCACCCAAAGAGTTGAACTAAAGAGATACCTGTGCAATAAATGGTCTTGGCAGCTTTTGACATGATGATGCTGACAAACCCAATTCCTCCCCCAAGCTCCAGCGCTGTGCAACCCTTGAACATATCTTGCTTCGAGAGGATGTAATCAGCAAGCAGGAAAGCTCCTCGCCAGACCTTCAAAACCAGAGAGAAAAATCGTATGTGGGGCAGACTTAAAACAGGCGGGAAATGGGACAGCAAGCCAGCTTCCTACCTGCTTCCCAACATCTTCTAAAGGTGTCGCCATGGTGTGCTCTGGAACAGCAAAACAGATGAAGAATCTTTTCCATTAGGCCAAATTCATTATTCCCACCCCAAAAAAACATATTCTCCTCAAAACTGCTTTTGCAACAAAGCTCAGAAAATAGACGAAAAGGCAAGAGCGGAAAATCCTTCTCTTTGAGATATTGCTTGAAAAAAGTATAATTCGCATTCTATCAAGAGTAGGAAGGGCAAGGAATCAGAAATGGAGAGAATGAAAATATGAGCTGTTGTAATAAAAATAAGAGATTTTTTCTTCTGCCCCAAAAGTGAAAAACAAACCCTGGACAGCAGTGTTTGGTCAACTGTGCAACTTTTAAGATGCGTGGACTTCAACTCCCAGAATTCCCCAGCCAGCCATATTGTAAATGTTGTAAATTGGGGGAGGTCATGTGACTGTGGGATGCTGCAATGACTGTAAATGCAGGCCAGCTGTCGAGTATACAAATGTGATCACGTGGCTACCCTCCTTCCACTCTCAGAACTTTTGAATCCAAGCCTTCAGCGCCAGCTCTGCCCTCTGCAATGAATTCTTCCTCATTTCTGTTCTGGTAGCCCTGGGAGATCCATTGTAACTGTCAAGTCCCATAGATTCCTATAGGGACGCTGTCATTCTGGTGGGAGGGGGGAGGATTAGGGGGGATCTCTGTGTTGGATTTGTGTTTCTATTTCTTGCCTTGCTTTGCTGTAACTTTCGGGCCCTTGGGAGGGGGAATGGAATGTGCCTCAAGCAGCTGCCTTATCTCGTCTCTGAAGAAGTGCAGCAGCGTTGCCTGGGAGACCTGCGTTTATCACTACTCCTCTGGAGTTTCTCATCACATCTTCACAAAGCCGGGATTAGCTCGATGATGTATTGCACTTTGGGAGGGGCTCTGTCTGCAATGGTTTAAACAAACGTTTTAAGTGGGAAAAGTCACTTCCTGCCTACATCTCTTGTTGTCCCAATCTATATATATAAAAATGGATGTGTGTGTGTGTGTTCCAGCATAACTCTGGAACGTCTTGAGCAATTTCAACCAAACTTGGTACACAGATGACTTACTCTATGGAAAAAAATACTGTGGGGGTAAGACACCCCTAACACCCCTCGGGGGGGAGGGGTTCTGTTAAGATACAGCCTGTTGTGCCTTAAAATAGCTTCTACTGTACTGCCTTAAAATGGCTTCTACTGTACAGCACAATGGAGTTGTCATGGTAACGGCTTCACAGTACTCCACAAGGGGGCTCCCTCTGGTAAGGGGGAAAATCCAGCATTAGATTTGGTCCGGACATTTTCAACAAGGCTTTGATTATTCTTGAAGACAAATCTATCTATGGCCATGATCAATAAAACATTACTGCAACTTGCCCTGCCTGCACCACTACGAGACTGACACGACGTACTTCACAGAGATTACATATGAGAAAAGGACTACAACGTTGAACAGCTTAGTGCATATATCACGGACAAGAAGCCACTTCTAAATCAAGATTTAAAAAAAGCATACCAAATGATCAGGGATCAGCTAGCAAAACAACAAGGTGGTATCATTTTACTTGACGCTTCTGGGGGCACAGGGAAAACATTTTTAACTAATTTAATTCTCGCCGAAATCAGGGCTCAGGGTGAAGTTGCTCTTCCTGTCTAATACAGGATTGGGATAAATAAATACCGGGTTATCAGCTAGTCTTCCAATAAAAGATTCCTTTTGAACTGGATTTCGTTTTCAAGAGTTCTGCTTTCTTTTGAGAAAACTGGCGAGGCAGGACCTTACAATAATCTTGCTAAGCAATCGGTTGTAAGTTCAGCACTATTTGCATGAAAGTTAAATATTGTGGTGTGACTGACCTATTTTAACAATATTGCAACCGTCGCTCTCATGTTCTTGTTCTTCCAAGACATCTCCATTCTTACTCAAAATGATGGGGCAGGCCTTAGTCCTCGTCTGATCCTCACCTCCTGCAGGAGGAAGGGGAGCTTTCCGGACCACCTGCAGGTCCCCATCTTCATCCAACAAGGCCTCAAATCCTCTGCAGGAGTCACCTTTGTTTTCTGGACTGTCTGGAGAATCGTCATCACCAGCTCTGTCCTCTGCAATGAATTCTTCCTCACTTCTGCTCTGGCAGCCCAGGGATGTTTTGTGGCCTCTCTCTTCTTTTTCGGGGTCCCTCTGGCTATCATCCAAAAGGAGTCTGAACTGCGAGAGAAAGACTAAGAGGCAACAATTTCAGTTGATAGATTACCTTGGCAAGCAGATGATCTGCACCTTTAAAGAAACTTAAAAAAGGAGAGTTAGACTCTTTTTCTAAAAAAAATATTTTTTATTGAGTTTTTAAGTTTTAAAAACAAAGAAAAATACAACAAAAAACAAAAACACATTAAAAACACGTAACAAACATAACATTACATCATATATTATTTTACAGCTTACTGTATCGACATGGATATATATTCTCTATTCTTATTCAATTGTTCATCTACGTACTTATATTTACATTAGTATCTATTTACAAAACCATCATTATCTGGTTGACACTATTCAGTAATTCAGTACACTTCCTAGTTTTAACCCGATTAAATTAACATTCCAAATTATTATTTTGATTTTTTTTTTCTAACCAATCTTATAGTTTATTCCACACTCTATAATATTCTGACTCTTCCTTCTCCTTAATTTCCAGCATCATCTTATCCATTTCTGCACATCGTAGAATTTTTCGAATTACTGTTTCCTCTCCTGGTACATTATTTTGTTTCCAGCCATATGCGATGGTAATCCTTGCTGCCGTTAATATATGGAGTATTAGATATTGTACGGATTTGTCTATTTTTGGGTTAATTATTCCTAATAAATAGAGTTCTGGTTTAAATTCCATTTTTAATTTGGTAATTTCCTCCAGCCAATTTTTAATTTTACGCCCAAAAATTTTTTATCTTGGGGCACATCCACCACATATGGTAGTATGTGCCTAATTTGTAACCACAACTCCAACAATTAGGTGATAGATTTGGGAACATTTTGGCCAATCTCGCTGGTGCCAAGTGCGAACATGTGGAACATTTTATACAAATTTTCTTTATAGGCTACTGCCATTGTTAATTTATTGTTTCTATTCCACAATTTGTCCCACTTTTCTAATTCTATATTGTGCCCGAGGTTTTTTGCCCAACAGATCATCGTTTCTTTTACCGTTTCATCTTCCACCTTTCTTTAGAAAGTTAGACTTTCTAAAGTTCTAGGGACTGCTTTCCCTTGAACTTTATTGTACAGTTACTTGACATACCTCATCCACCAATTTAACTGGGCATTTCATATGTTTTGGAAACTATCTGAAACTGAACTCATAATTATGTATGCAGAGGTTTAAAATTCCTATATTTAATGATTCAGCTTTCTTCACTTCTATCATCTACTGATCCCATTCTTGTCCTCTTATATTCTGCAATAATTCCAAACAACAGACATTCTGAGGATTTCAAACCGGATATAGGGAAATATCTTCTCTCTTGGGCTTCGCAGTTGTGTTCCATTTCTGTTTTCTTCTGTTCTCTTTCTTTGTACTTAAATGTTCTATAAGCCCCTTCGTGGTCCCTTTCTTACTGGCATGCATTCTGCTAGTTTCTTCCCCTCCCACTCTTCAGTTTCTCTTATCTCATGCATATCCTTGTTTCTCCTCTTTGTCATAGCTAGATTCCTCTTTTTCCTTATTGCATCCTCTTAAGCATTAAACCATAAACCAAGGCTGAGAACTGTAGCTGGTTGGGTTTGCATAATAGGTAAAGGTTGCCCTCGCACATATGTGCTAGTCGTTCCCGACTCTAGGGGGTGGTGCTCATCTCCATTTCAAAGCCGATCAGCCAGCGCTGTCCGAAGACATCTCCGTGGTCATGTGGCCAGCATGACTAAATGCCGAAGACTCATGGAACGCTATTCCCTTCCCACCAAAGGTGGTCCCTATTTTTCTACTTGCATTTTTTTACGTGCTTTCGAACTGCTAGGTTGGCAGAAGCTGGGACAAGTAACGGGAGTTCATCCCGTTACACGGCACCAGGGATTCGATCCGCTGAACTGCTGACCTTTTGATCGACAAGCTCAGCGTCTTAGCCAATGCTAGTAAGCAAAAAAATCAAATAACTACACAACAACCCTGGAAGCTCTGTGAGTTCAAACACTTCCTCTCTCTCAATCAACTGCATACACACCTGATTGGGATGGCATTAACTGTTATATTACCTGGCTGGCCAACAGCATTCAACCTCACCATAAAATGCCTTCTGTTTGCAGTGTGGAGGTGAATATCAGAGAGTACTGTATCACTTCGAAATATTGTTTCATCCATAGCCTCTCTCACCTTCTCCAACTAAGATGCACTGGGGACCAGATCATCTATAATTACAAAAAAAAGCAACATCCTAATCGACACAGAAAAGATTGTAATATTTCACATCTGCCTATAAAATCCAACATAGGTACAATACTTTTTGGAGTATAAGATGCACTTTCCCCCCCTCTAAAAAGGGTGGAAATGTTGGTGCGTCTTATACACCGAATACAGCCATTTTTGGCCTCCCAAAACTCTGCACTGCGTGTCCCGTTTTTGCCAAAAACAGGCCCATTTTTCAGAAAAATTGAATGCGCAGAGGGTTTGTGAGGCCTGCAGAGTGCTCCTGGGGGCCGGGAAGGGCAAAAACCGGATGCCAAAAACTATTATTTTTTCTTGCTTTCCTCTTCGAAATCTTGGTGCATGTTATACTCCGGTGCGTCTTACAGTCCGAAAAATATGGTACATCCCATTAGCTTGATGCTGCAATGGTTTCAAGTATGAAAAACAGTCTTAATTCACTTTTTTTCAGTGCCATTGTAACTTAGAATGGTCACTAAAGAAATGGTTTTAATTCAAGGCCTACCCATACTTCACACGTCTTTGTATTAACCTATTTTGAAGGTGTGGCACTCTTGTGCATACATTTCACAAAAAAATACAGCCTTGTGTGCAAAACACAAGAGTTCAGAGTGCAATCCTCTACTCATTTACCTGGGAGTAGGCTCCAAAGAGTTCAGCAGAACTTGCTAAACAGCAAATAGGATTGAGTCTGCACGGTTAAAGAAGAAAATAAAATGGATTACTTGCTATTTTATGCATACTATTAATAACATTTGTATACCATATTTCAAAGTGAGTCTTACTGTAGAAGAAATAGTACTGTGTATGAAGAAAGCATGTAGTCTCTAGATAAATTAGGAAGGAGCACAGTTCAGAAACAAATCCTTTAAAATTGATTAACACCAGCTGTCTGCAATTACTGTAAGTTCGAATCTCACCAGGCTCAAGGTTGACTCAGCCTTCCATCCTTTCTAAGGTAGGTAAATTGAGGACCCAGTTTGTAGGGGCAATAAGCTGACTTTGTATAAATATACAAAAGTATGAAGGCTATTGCTTAACGCATTGTAAGCCGCCTTGAGTCTCTGGAGAAGGGCGGCATATAAATCAAATTTTTAAAAAAATCATTTTTGAAGTCTATTGAATTTGCATGGATAAGCACATTCATAAATGGGTAATATTATTCTCACATAATAAACCATGGCTCCTCTCTTCACTGCAAAAAGTCTCCTTTCCCTTGAAAATATGTACCCATGTACGATGGGGAGCTAGAGGTAATCTGTTTATGGGTAGAGACACCCTTTTTCAGAATGATGAACCAAAGAGGGCAGATCTTCCTGCTGCTGTGGGGACGGACGATGACAATGACACAAGGAGGGGAGGAAAGCCAGCAAGTTCACAGAGCTACACAGATGAAAATTTATCAAGGGGAAATCCAGCTCAGAACTAATGAGAAATTTCCTTACAGTGAGAACAATCAGCCGGTAGAAGGTTTGCCTTCAGACGTTTTGTATGCTCCATCACTGGAGGCTTTTAAGTGGCCTCGACAGCCACTTGTCTGAAGTGGTATAGGTTCTCCTGTTTGAGCAGGGAGTTGGACTAGAAGACCTCAAAGGTCCTTTCCACCTCTGTTATTGTTACTGCTTTGGGAGACAGTTAAACCAATGTGACTTATGACTTACAAATTCATCCTTACTTTGTGTCTCTTAAGAATTCTCCCAGACCTGGCCATCAATCCTGTTTGGATTTTTTGTCCCTCCTTCCACTTTTCTTTCCCTGTCTTTCCATCTTCCTTCCTTTCAATCCCTCCTTCCACTTTTCTTTCCCTGTCTTTCTTTCCACCTTCCTTCCTTTCAATCCCTCCTTCTACCTTTCTTTCCCTGTCTTTCTTTCCACCTTCCTTCCATTCAGTTCCTCCTCCCACCTTTCTTTCCCCATCTTTCCACCTTCCTTCCAGTCCTTCCTTCCACTTTTCTTTCTCCATCTTTCCACCTTTCTTCCTTTCAGTTCCTCCTTCCACTTTTCTTTCCCCTTTCCCCTTTCCTTCCTTCCTGTCCTTCCTTCCACCTTTCTTTCCCCTCTTTCCACCTTCCTAACTTCCTGTCCTTTCTTCCTTCCTTTCCCTGTCTTCCTTTCCATCTTCCTTACTTTCAATTCCTCCTCCTACCTTTCTTTCCCCGTCTTTCCATCTTCCATCTTTCTTCCCACCTACCTTTCTTCCCACTTTCTTTCCTTCCTTCCAGTCCCTCCTTCCACCTTTCTTTCCCTGTCTTCCTTTCCACCTTCCTTCCTTCCAGTCCTTCCTTCCACCTTTCTTTCCCTGTCTTCCTTTCCTTTTCTTCCTTTCAATCCCTCCTTCCACTTTTCTTTCCCCATCTTTCCACCTTCCTTCCTTCTTGTCCTTCCTTCCACCTTTCTTTCCCTTTCTTTCCACCTTCCTTCCTTTAAATCCCTCCTTCCACCTTTCTTTCCCCTTTCCACCTTCCTTCCTTCCTGTCCTTCCTTCCACCTTTCTTTCCACCTTCCACCTTTCTTTCCTTTCAGTTCCTCCTCCTACCTTTCTTTCCCAGTCTTTCCATCTTCCATCTTTCTTCCCACCTACCTTTCTTCCCACCTTCCCACCTTCCTTCCAGTCCCTCCTTCCACCTTTCTTTCCCTGTCTTTCTTTCCTCCTTCCTTCCTTCCAGTCCTTCCTTCCAAGGGGAAGAGGGGCAACTGGGACTCTGCAAGCGCGCAGAGGAACCCTCTTTCCCACTATTCCCCTTTCCCGGTGGCTTCCTGCAGCCCAGCGCAGCACTTTGGCTCGCTGAAAGACAAACAGCTCCCGAAGCCCTTTTAGCTCCGTCTGAACTCACCTCCCGCCGGGCTTCAGAGACGCGACACATACACACCACCATTATTGTTTCGCTCTCTTTCCCCCCCCAACAGCTGCTTCCTGTTTCCGACTTCCGGCTCATGCCTTCTGTAGCGCCCCGCCTCTCGCGCGAACTGACCAATCATTGACGACGGTACCTTACTGGGCGGGGCTGTTCCTCTCCGCCCTGAAAGGATCGTCCTCCTCTCGCTTTTCAGGGTTGCTATGGCAACCTGCGCTCTAGACGGGATGGGTATATTAGTCCTCACTGAACAAAATGGAGGCACTTAAGCTCTCTCTCTCCTTTTGATATTTCAGGGAACTTCAACTTTAGCTGCAATTAAAAGTCCAATTTATCAGAAGTTGTGATGCTCCATCACTAGAGGATTTTTAAGAAGAGACTAGGAAGGCAAGCTCTTCCACTTGTCATTTGTCCAGAATGTTATAAGGTCTCCTGTTGGAGCAGGGGGAGAATGGAATGGAATGGAATGGAATGAAGAATAGAATAGAATAGAATAGAATAGAATAGAATAGAATAGAATAGAATAGAATAGAATAG